TTATTTAGGATAAAAAACACAAATATAGAGGGTATTCATATAAAAATTTGCAAACAATTTGTTTTCGAAATATTCTTGGGACAGTCTAATGTACATACATATTATATGTCAGCGATATTAAACTATTTACTTATGTACTTATATACAGATATGTACTTAAATTCTAACCAAATATATTATCGTATATTTTGTAGCAGATTCCAGTTTTTTTAAACATTTCATTTGTCCGTTCTTCTGTTTTGAATAGCTGATACTCTTTCAAAGTAGCAGGGTCCAATGGCCCCCAATCGGCTTCGGGCTTAAAGCTCTCCTTTATCCGCTCGCACATTGTCCCACTGGTTCGGTAGCAAACTTCGCCTATAGCCCAAACAAGTAGTTGACCACAGCCGAAACCTGAGACGCACCAACCAAAAACTGAAAAAAATTTAATATATATTTTTACAAATTACAGACAAAGAGTTTCCGCTGTTTATACTGTATAATCCATCCTGATAGGTATAGCCATTGTATTGTAAGGGCGTATAGTTCACCAGCGTATAGATCAGAACTGCAGCCATGAAGGCGGGTGTAATTAATCCCCAGCAAATCCGATAATAGAGAGAAGTTTTTATACCCAACATGAAGTAAACGTCATGACACAGGGTTTTTACGCCTAAAATTGAATGAACATAGGGTCAGAATTAGTCAGTTTACTATCTTTACATGAACACACCATATATCCAGCCAACAGCGATCAGTTCGAATATCGCCAATACTAAAGCTACGAACGACGCCCCGTAGAAGTCCATAAAGTTCAATAGATATTGACCACCTGGAGTTATATATATAAGGCCGATTCCATAACATACAACAGCGATGCCCACAGCAATAATCCATTGTTTTGTGTTGGTGAATTGATCTTTTAATACGGTCATAACGCACGAAGCCATGCCCACATTGCTTCCGATACCCAGTACAAACAACATCAAAAAGAAGAGCACGGAAAATACCTGAACGTTTACACACAATTTACACAACATTCGAATTACAAAGTCAAAGCAACGTCTGAAGAATTCTCACTTGTGGTAGAAACTCAAATTTAGATATGGCGTCTGGATACGAGATGAACGCGAGTCCCGTGTTACTCTTTACAACATTTTGTATATCAGAGGTATTTGATTCGTGAGCTAAGTTTCCGAGGATGCCGAAAATGATTACACCAGAGAGAAGCGAAGTGAACGTGTCTAAGGTGGTGACAATTGTGCAGTCCCTACACAAAAAATATTAAAAATAAAAAAATATGTATTTCTGCAAAAGGTTTGTACAGTTCATATGGTATTGATATTACCTTTTTATGTTGTGCCGGAATCGGTTGTACGAGGCGTACATGATTATGTTTCCAAAACAAATGGCAAGCGAAAAAAATACTTGAGTAACAGCTGCATACCATACCTATCAAAAGAACGGAAGTAATTAAAATTTTAATATGTAATACTTGTTAGTCTGAAGAGCATACCTTTGGGTCTAGAAGTTTATCCCACTGAGGTTTCAGAAAATACAAAACACCATTGAGAGCGCCTGGCAGTGTCAATGAACGTATGAGTAGGATAAACATAACCACATAGGGAAAAAGTGCAAGGACATATGATGCCTTGCCCGAGCTCTTAATGCCTTTAAGAAGTATGGAGACTATCACGAGCCAAGAAACAGCTAGTGTCAGGGCTAACGACCAACTTGGGTAACCTATTCCATCATGTATGGAGTCCTTTTCTCGCAAAATTACTTTTCTAAAGTTGGAGATTTTCAAAATAAAGCGGTTGTAAAATTCCTACTTGAATACATACGTGAAATAAAATTCCGCCGATGTGCTTTTCACTTTAGTTTCATTTGTGAAAACGTTTGTTTTATTGAGCTTCGAATCGATACAGGCGTCGCCCCACTCTTCGCGACAATAACTCCAGGGCAGCGTCGGATAACACGACTCTATCAAATAACGAAGAGTAAGAGCCATCAAAGTGGCATAGTACGTGGACACAATAGCCGTACCGAACACTTGTCCATATCCAACTCCTAAAATGTTGTAAGTAGATTGTTAAAGCAGTTGTTGGGTGGAATATTTCAAGGAAAAAGCAATTAAGTATTATTGCCCAAACTGACATGTTCATACATACATATTAGGGTGGTCCAAAATTACTCAGGGAAATCCACTTTTTGGAATTTCCCTGCTGCCACCTCCAGAAATATAGAAAATGGACAAAAAGGAAATCATATTTTTTCTTTTGGAATCGGTTAGAATTTAATGGTGGTGACACTGATATTGTGGCGTATTAATATTTTTTTTACCAGTGATTTTTTCCTCTGCTGTTTTTAGCCTAACATATCCATAATTTTATTGAGCTTGAGGCCGCTTTTTATGAAAAGTTATTGTGGAAATTTAACGATTGCACTATGGGAAATTTGAGCCTATTTTGTGGTAAAAAGTAAATTTCTTGACTTGCTTGAAATTAATTTTTTTCTGTCTTATCTTACAGAGAATACTTCAAAGTAAAACTCTGTTTTTCGATAAATTGACTAACCGTTGATTTGGTAACCCTCAAACAGATAGTTTCGAAATTTTTTGTAAACGAAAAGTGTGTAGCTTGATTTTGTGCCACTTTCTAATGCTTGTATCTCCTTATCTATTTGCTGCTTTTCAAAAGTGAAAAGTGGAAAGAAAGAGTGACGGTTAGCAGAATATTTACCAATTAAAACTTCTATTATAGTTACGGTGACCATATTTATGAGAGCCGAATACGGGACAAAAAATAATTTTTCAAATTTATTCCACAACAGCTTACAGATCTTAAAGCCTTCTTAAATAATCCTAGATGTATTAGCCCTGAAACTGTATCCTTATAGTAACATAACAAATTTGTGGGATTATTTTCTCGAGATTTTTACCCCGTAAGATTTGTTAAAAAGTTCGTTAAATTTTAGTATAATAAAGTGCAATTTTAAGTCGCTAAGGCTTACCACAAATTTTTAGCAATTTTTTTGTTGACGGTGTTACGCATTTTTTTCATACAAAGTAAGTATGTTCGACCATTTTTTTAAAAGAGAAGCAAATGAGCAGGACTTTCCACTCGCACTTTATAATACTCAATTTTAATGACTTACAAAACTGCAAACCAAATTTTTTTTCTAAAGATTCTAATTAAAATGATTGAAATTTTAGCGAAACATTGCAGAATTAATTTTTATAGTTTTTTGCACAAAGTTGGAAACTTGGTATTATATGGTTTTTATTAGGAAAGGAGCTTTACTTTAGCCAAATAGCCAAAACTTACTAAAATGTCGAGTCCTAATTTCTATTGTGGTCAATGTATGTATCGCAGGCATTCAGATTAGAAAATAACAACTGTTTATGGAGAAAATTACGTTATATACAAACATCACTTAAAACTCGTTCATAGGCATGCCATTTTAATGAGCTGTTAAGGCGGCGAAACACCGAAGCCGGGACAAATATAGGACATTAAGAGAAATACAGAACATACATAAAATAAATGAATTACCAGGACAATGGGCCAAAAAAGAGGACTGTCGCGTATAATACAAGACGGATGGTCACCGTAATTATAGTTTAAAGGTTGTTGACTTTAAAGTGAAATTGTACAATTAAAAAAAAAAAGAAGTTTATTTAGTGTTTTAAAAAAATTTTTAAAAACGTTTAAAAAAAACTCATCCTAAATCGGTAGAATAGTCCCTGATCTCTTATTTCCCCATAATCTTATACTGCAATTTTGTGCGATATTAAAGAAATTATAATTTTTCTTAGATAACTACTTGGTACAAAATCATGAGTTTTGTGAAATAATTCACGGTGCTATAATTTAAAAGTTGGAAAAAAACCTGTCAGATAACAAAGAGAAAGTTTTAAACTTAAGGTCAGTGGAGGATTCGAGTCGATATTTAAAATAGAACATACGAGGCATCTGTTTATGGGGTTCGGGTCCACTGGACCCCGTGTGACCATTACGCTATTTTTAGGAGGTGTCACCATTGCGGGTTAATTTTTGCGCGGCAAGGCCACTACTTCTAGTCCTACTACTGGGCCAAGTTTTAAACTGATATTTCAACTTTTAGAATTTTGGCCCCAAAATAGGGTCAAATTTCCCATAGTGGATTGGTAGAAGTTTTGCTACTGTTGTTTCCCACCATAAATTTTGATTAAAAACCGCCTCAAGTTCAATAAAATTGTTAAAAAATAAATATTTTTTTAAACGAACAAGAATATTTCCCTCCAGAAATCTGCAAAACATAAAATTATTATGCATATTTGAGACCATGAGAGCCTAACCCAATTTTTTGTTTTGTATGCTTCCCTACTTAAAATAGTCTCAAGTGGGATAAATTTTAAAATGGAAGTCGGTTCTTCTTTAATTTTAAGGTTCGAAGCCATGATTCAATAATACAAGGTTCGATAAACTGACAGTTGTCTCTCTCGCACCGCTCCCTTAGCAGCGGCACCGTGTTGCTTCTTTGCAAATTTACTTGGAAAAAATGTAGCTTTGGTGTGAAATAGAAGTATAAGCTTTTGCGCAATATGTTTATTTGTATATGCATATGAAGCACATTTAACTGATGAAAACATAAATTGTTTTTAAATTGAATGTTTACATAAATCTCATGGTAGTTTTATTTTAATTCTGAGTCCTTTTGCGGTTTTTATACAGCTAAAAACATAAATGACTTATATAAAGTGGACATATAAAATACATAGGCTTCAATAAATATTAATCAATCTCAAAACCACAAAAACACATGGGCTTCCCTATTTTCGATGTTCTACATTTCTGTGAGTGCCTGAAAAAATTGTTTTTGGACCGCCCTAATGTAAATTTATACAAACATAGATACATAGATATTTATACCTTTCATGAGCATGAAATGGTATTATAACTTTGGTCC